TCCGGTATATCATACGTTGACGATGCAGGATATCCAATCTAAGCGGTGATTAGACACTATCGTAATCCGTGTTAATTAATCGATCGACCAGCCGAAGGTCTACGCACGCGGAAAAACGAGGCAATTTTTAGGAATATTTTTTTTTCTCGAAAAATCGTAGTTGGTGTTTTTTTTTACTTCAGGATACAATTTTTTCGTGTTTTTGGAAGCTGCGAACATTTTTCTTTTTTCGAAAATTCGTGATACAATTTTTAGGAAAATGGCGAGAATACTGAGTCGCGATTCTTCGGGCATCGCGGCTCGTTTTTATAGAAATTCGAGACAGTCGGCGAAAGAAAGACAGCGGCTAGCATGTCGGTGTACATTAATATGAATGAACAGTAATGCTAAAATAAAAACGATGGCTTAACTTTTTTATTTTTAATTTTTTGCCACGATTCGAAGGCAATTCCGAGGCCATGTGACACGATTCGAAGGCAATTCGGAGGCCACTTGACACGATTCGAAGGCAATTCGGAGGCCATGTGCCACGATTCGAAGGCAATTCGGAGGCCACGTGTCACGATTCGAAGGCAATTTCGAGGCCACGTGCCACGATTCTACGGTCGACCCTATGAAATAGGATTAAGTAGAGACCCTATTAAATTCCACAGGCGTAGGACCAGCACAGGAAAATTCACAGCAACTCGAAATTCGGCATTCTAAGGAGAAATTACCGTAGCTGCCGATGAAATTGAACGCTTCCGCAGGTTCGAAGGCGGCGCGGAGCCCCGTATTATGTATAATCACTTTCCAACCGACCTTTCACATCCAATTAACGCGCTAATTGCCGAATGAAAGGAATAATGAGAACGGCGAAGGGATATCACGGCGACACGACAAGCTGACTTTATAGCGTGGTTGTTCGTTAACCGATGGAGCACCTCTCCTCTTTCCTCTGTCTTCGCCGGCTTCTGCGACAGCGGACAATTATCATCGTTAACAGAGGGAACACGGCTTTCTCATTGGTCGCCATCCGAGATTAATCTCTCGAAAATTCGTAAAACGCGTCCGAAGTTTCGCGAGCCGTTCCAGCAAAGATAAAATGCGAGATCCAATTATTAGCGGAAGCTTTTAGAAGATTCTCGCCGAGCTTCGTTTCGTTCGGGGAAACGAGATTTCGATTAGACTTCGGACTTCTTTAGCGGCTCGTTAGCAGTTCCACTGCTCCATGACAATCGTCTAAAAAATTTAATCGAATTGAGATTGATACGTGTTACGTTGCCCGTAATTAAATTTAAAATTGCGCGACATCGAATTCTTATGTTTTACAGATTTTTGCACGATTAGAAAGATACAATGGATCAATGTAAAAATTATTTCTCAAATCTGAGCGAATTATTCGATCTGGACATGTTGACCGAAGGTTCAAATACCTGGTATACGTAAAAATAGACGTAAAAATATTGAATCCTTAACTGGACCATCGAAACTGGCCATTGGAACGGAAATATTCCAATAATCTTAGCGTATTACACATCGAACGAGATCCACGCAAGTAGAAATAAAAGCCGACCGTCCTAGATAAACTCGTTAGCTTAGAATCTGCAATAAAATTCGGCCATTTTCGTGCAAGAAATTCCCCAAATCGAGGGCCGCATTTTCCGAATTGGCCAGGAAAGGATCGCCGAGGATCTAATTAACCGAATCACGCGCAATCTCTTAAAATAACGGCCAGTCGATTTCCCATCCTTTTTTTCTCGAACGACGACAGAAGGCTCGGAATCCTTAATGAAGATCGAAAGCACTCTAAACGAGACTCCGTCGAGTAAATGAGAGAAAGCCAATAAAAAGCACCCGCCCTTTTTATCCCAGGTCCCGTATCTTTCATTACTTTTGCGCTTTGATCAGCCGTTCCTTTGTTATGGCGTCTCGTCTTTCATCAGGGAACCGGGTTGAGGAGAACAGAGGGAGAGGGAGAGAGAGTGGGAGAGAAAGAGAGAGAGAGGAATGGGGAAGCAGAAAAAACGTTACCGCACCTTAAGTAACTAGAAGTAACGACGCCACGCGTCTGCGTGCCGATGTCTCCGGGCTCTTATTTCCCTTCGATCGTCCTTTAAAAAGAAGCTTCATCGGAGGACGGAGCGCTGCATCGGAGAAATTCCTGTCTCCGAATAACGAAAGCGAGCTTCATTAACGAAAGCGATTTCTCTCGTGTAATTTGTTGTCCAAGGATCTTCTGCTTGCTATAGAATGTTTACGTTTCGGCTCGGATCGATTCGACATTGATTTTCGCGGATTCTCTAACTCCGACGACAGCTCCGCGAAAAATCATCGTAGGATGACCATTTGTTTAAATTAAAGCTTGAAACCTCTACTTTAAGACGATGTTTCTAGGTTTCAAGTTTGACGCACCCTCGCAACTGTAATAATGTAAATGCGAGACCATGGTTGTCGTATTGAAAATTTCGATGTTCGTTAAGTTTGACGAAACGCAGGGTCTTTATAAAATTTTTGTCGGGAATGCCGTTTACAGCTGAATAAAGCTTCACTCTCCGCCTTTAATTAAAAAAAAAAGAATCGTAGCTGCGATTTTTTCTCGCAAAGTTACAGCGCTTTAAAGCAACCCTTGCACCTTTGCCGGTGACAAAAGTTTTAGGACAAACATGATCTCGCGTTTAAATTGTTACAGTTGCGAGGATGCGGCGATCTTGAAATCCAGACACACTGTCTGAAAGTAGAGATTTCGAGCTTTAATTAAAAAAAAAATTCGTCATCCTACGATGATTTCTCGCGGAATCGTCGTCCGTCGAAGTTGGCCAATTTTTATTGAAAAATTTTCGAGGTCGCAGACATTAGCAAATTTTCGGAAATTTCGAGACTCGAGAATGCAAGGAAAAACTTCGACAACAACCCCTGGAAGAGACAATGGCGTTTGAATTTTAACCCCGAGGGACCGTAGGAAGGCTAAATGTCGTTACGAGGCAGTTATTGTTGAAGTTTCCAAGAAGCATAAACGGCGCGCCATGCTAGAACCGGCACGCCGACTCGCCCTGTTTCCAAGAGGTTAATCAATCACTCGGCGTTTCCAGCGGGGCAAATATTTATGAAAACATTTGCCTCGATTCCTCAAAGGCGGCCGAGCCCGACGGGAGGAGCGTAAATAATGAAACGGTAAATAGAAGGGAGGCGACGCGACGGGGTCCTTTCGCGAAGGACCACCCTGCGCTCCTCGGAACGGAATTGCCGTGCGACCGGGGGCCGAGAGAGGGGTCGCAGGACGACGTCCTCCAGTCAATTTCGAATTATCCTATTTCACGAGCGAGCTCTGCACGATTTCATTTGTCTCCTTTCCAATAACCCGCCGTTGCACGCCGAGCCAATTTCTCCTTCATTGGCCTCCCGGCGAGCAGTTTATAAAATTTCCCGTTCGCTGCGATCGATGCAACAATAAATTGTCTCCGCGGAGCCGCGCGGGGTTGGCTCCCCGGTGGCCGTGGGACACCCTTCGCTCTCTCCCGCACGCGGATCGTAAATCATCGGGATCGCGGGACCGGAAATCGCGCCGAAGTAGTTGCCAACTCGACCATGAGAACGCTCGCGCAGTCTCCTCTTCTCTTTCGCTACTTGCCAGACATTTTTTTTCCTCCGAGCGAGCGCCGTATCCTGCGAAGCTAACGCTTTATGCTTTCAATCGTCGACGTTCGGAGTATCTGCTCGTAAATCAATTTTGTTGTATTACGATCTTTAGGACGAGCAAGCGGAAACTTAAGAAACGCGGAGAGCGTCGGTACAAAGTGTCGGTTCGAGAAGCGTCGTTTAATTTATGATTTGGCAGTTCTAATGGATTCTTAGCGCGGACGAGATTCGAACGGTCTTAGAACTTAGGACACGCTCTTCTACGATTGGCATTATTTATTATTAGACTGCGGAGGTTTGCGCAAATGTACAGCACTGCGAAGGGTACTTGAAGGAACCGACGAAGAGCCTGTTCTCTGCTCTAAGGACAATTTTGACCGATCGGCTGGGCCCTTTACGAAATTAATTATTCATCGCTCCATCTTATTCGATCACTGCCATTGCGCCAACTCGATGTCAAAGGACAGATTACACGCTTCGGATACGCGGGACAGATTAGGATTAAAAATGGGAAAATACAAATTTCAACGAAACGATACAGTTTCGGTATCATTTTTATACTCGCCGATGGCGCAGAAAATTCGTCTCGGTTCTCGTTAAATTGTTTTGCCGGAACGGAAATTTGCAAAACATGTAATTACGTGGAAACACAGATGCAAACATGCGAAGTGAAGCGGAACATTTTAATGAAACATTAAACAGTTCGCATCCTGTTTTTCATTCGCTGTCCAGCACCGGATAAAATTATACGGTGCAATTGTGCAGCCGAAGTACAATATGTATACCGTTTTCAATGCCTAATTATAACACACGATTATTCTCGCCGCGTATCGCCGGACTTCGGTTTCTTTTCGCGGTTGAGCGAGCAGAATCGAGAAAGCCGAATGTACAATAGCCGGTAAGACAGGTTATGTTCGCTCGGTTCCCGCATCCTCTATATAACCGATATATAATACATATATATATAAAATCTGTATTTTGCACGAAGCGCGTTCTATTAGGTCTACCGGAAAGTTCGGTCCGATAATGTCATTGCAAATTTCGATAGATATGCACATATTCATTTGAGAGGCTCACGAATTGCCATCACGCTGGCAAGAGGTCATAAGTAATGACGGAAATTATATTGTAGTAAATATATATAATAATATAATAATATATATAATGTATAATATAATAATATATAATACATAATATATATATTATATAATAATATAAATATAATATAAATATTACTAAATTTATGAAAAATCTATTATTTCCTTTCATTTCTCAAACGGACAGAACTTTCCGGTAGACCTGATATAGTGCATCGCCGCTGTTATTTAACCGCGACGAAACGCACTCGTCTCAAATTGTAATTGATCTTCTTCTGATTGCAGAGTTGTTAATTAAGAATGCGCGATGACACGGCGAATTTATCAGTGGACCGGAAACCCGCGCGAGAAGGCGCAGGGTATGGAAATGGAACCCCCCAAAACAAATTCTCATCGACAGGAAAAAATATTCTTGAAGTGTAAGTAGACGAATCGATCTCCCCCCTTCCCCCCCACCGTCTCGTCCCAGCGATCGAACCGGCGCGATCGATTCCGGTCGCGCCGCAACTTCGTTAACTTCCGCGCGTTTAACGCGGCCGGGCTGGCCGCGTTTATCGGAAAATTTCGGCGGATTAATCCGACGCGAGCTTATATCGACGGTCCGCCCGCTTTTCGAGCAACGATCGCGTTTAAAAGCCGGCCTTCGGGTGGTTCGCGCGGCAAAAGCTTGCCCGTCGCCGATCGATGACTGCAACGCTAATGATCGATGGCCCGCAAAATCGCAACTCTTTCTCTTTGTTGTATTTTTTTTTTTGTTCGGCCCGCCCGGGCCCGGCACTCGATCACCGGGTGATAGATCGGGAACTAACGGCGATCGAGAACTCGCGAACAGACGCTGGAAACCCGCGCCCCGCCGGTTTCCCGCCGGATCGTTAAATCGTGTAAGCAGCCTGGATCGCGTTGTTTAACGGAGGGTGATCGAACGATCGACCGATACAATGACGGATCGCCGAGATTCCTGCGAATTAGCGGACACGGGCTGCAACATGCCGAACAAATTAAACGACCGGGCAGGGACGATCCGGCTTCGTTTGGAATTATTCTCGGCGGAGAATAAATATTTGCGGGAACGGTTGCATTTCGAGGATAGAACAGCACGTTCAATGATTTGATCTTCGATGATCTCTATTCTCGGTGCTAGACAATTTTCGAAAATTAGTTTCTAATGTTAACAGAGTTCTCCGACTTCTAGAGTCGCGCGTGAAAGGCTCAACTTTCTTCGAAATGCGCGACGAAGTTCCTTGTTTTAGACGATCAGAATTATTGTAATAATAATCTTTGTTTAACCCTTAACGGTCCAATGCCGCCATACGCGCGGCAGAAATCAATAAAGCCGTAAAATCTGGCAGGAAACGTTGGAAGAATCGGCACGAAGTTTTATTAAAAAAACGAATGTCTCTTCTCTATATTTGATAGAAAAATTTTCAGTAAAAAGTTTCTCTTCGTCCGAAAAACAGTCTGGACTTGGCAGTGTGTAAACTGGAAACAAATAGTTTTTGTCCCCTATGGGTTAAAAACTGAGAATTAGGGAGAATTTGCTGTGAAACCGTCTCGATCGTCCAAAACACAGAATCTCGTCGCGCGTCTCCGAGCGAGTTGCGAAACGGCTCGTCGACGCGTCCCGTCTCGACGTTGAATTATCTGTTCGAAAATGCTCGCAGTGTTTTCACCGGTGTGTTTGTTCCGCCTGAAGATGTGTCGCGGCCGAATGATGCAATGACGGATCGGCGACGGTGACACGGCGGAAAAAGAGTTCGATCGCCGCGTCGATTCGGAGCGCAGCGTCGCCGCGACGGAGCTCGCGCGCGTGGGAGGACGGGAAAAAGGGTGGCCGGTGCTAAATTTACAGCCGTGCGTCGTCGTCGTCGTCGTCGCGCGGCCGTATTATAATTAGTGACGCAAATGAGACGGAAGCGTTCTCGGAAAGTTTTCAATACGCCGGCTGACTCAGGGGAAATACGGTCTTATAGAGTTATTTCGGAGAACGAAATTGGATTAGAGGTGGTGGGCGATCCTCGGCGAATACGCGCGCGAACTATTTTCGCCCGGCCGTCTGTGCATCGTTTTACCGTTCAAAACGGAAATAACGCGCGGGCCAAAGCTTCGATAAATAATTTTCGAGCGGTCTGTCGCGTCGCGCGTCTAGATTGTTCTCGAGAGCGTTCTCTCAAAAATCGAGCAACGCGCGTTTTACCCTCGTAAGAACGACGAGACCGAATTTATCTCGAGCTTCCGCTATTTTCGCTAACGACTCGAACGCGACGATTTCGGAAGAAGAAATCGTTGAAATCTGTCGTTACGAGCGGCGGCGCGCCGGTGGATTCGGCGTTGATCGCGTGGATTTCATCGGGAAAGAATTACGCTGTTCGTCGACCACGCAGAAATTAGACGAACGTTGATCACGCTCTGCACCGTTTCCACCGACGCGTCGCAATTGTTGCGTGATCAACGATCAGCGTGACCCTTCATTTGCTTGCTTACGTTGCGCAATTTGCATGACCGATAAAGAATTGCTCGTTGATTACGTTCTCATTGGCGGAATCGATCGATTAACTAATCTATCCCGGTGATATCTCGTAAATAACATTTTTTACGAAGAACTGCAATAACGCGGGCTAATTGCAGTTGTGATCGGTTGTCATTCTTAATCGACGTGTTCACAACGGTTCCGTTCCATCGCGGCGGTAAACGAATGATAACGCGAAGAAACAATCTTGCCGTGATAATCGAGTGCTCGATATATCCGAGAACAATCGTTGCATCGATTAATAATTGCGCAACAGCGACGAGCCTGCATTAGTTGCACGATCGACAAGATAAACTGGCGAAAGCAATTAGCCGGCTCGACGTAATTATTTCCCATCGAGGTGTACACGTCAAGTTCCGTTAATTCTTCGCTCCGATTGTCGCGAACGCGAACGCGGGCATTCTCCGCTCGAAGAATCACTTTTTCTAGACTCTTTCGTTAATTGATAAGTAACCGGAAATGGTCTTCTTTAACTCCTTGCGGTATAACAACGAGTCTCGTACTAAATATCAAGGTCATTCGTTCCGTCAAAATCGAAATAGAATTTGATTATTCTGCTATCAAAATCTTGGACCGAAAGCCGTAAAAAGCCATAAAACAAATCGTAGTGCAAAGTGTGATCGCTAGAATAATAATTGCTAGAGATATCAGCAATAGGTAAATTAGAGAGATATTATATTATATAGATATATTATATTATTATATATTATATATTATAGATATTATTATTATAATTGCTAGAGATATCAAACTACAGTAAATTCTCCCTAATTGTCCTTCAGCTGTTAACCCTTTGCACTCGAAGCCATTTTAATTATAAATCTAAATTCATTCTTCTGACTTATGGTATTTCTATTTTATACGACAATGTGCATTGTATGCATATCAAATTCAATTTTGTGACTCGTACAACAATTAGACTTTTAACAATTTTTTTGTATCTAAGCTTTTATAATATAAAAATTATCTTGGAACGTGATGCAACAATTTTACTGGTGCCTCGGGGTCACCACTCGAGTGCAAAGGGTTGAACAAAGAGGGACAATTTGGGAAGATTATTCGACCGCCCTCGCGGTTTATTTTGATTATTTTTATTATTTATTTTAATATCGTAGTTGTCGATCGTTGATAATTGTAAAAACGATGCGCAAGATAATCGTATCTCCTCTTCCCAGATTGCCCATTTTCGTGCACAATCTGAGCGCGAATCGGGGAGAATTAAATGCATTTCGTATCGCTTCAGGGGTCGCGTCGCGTCGCGCCGCGTTTCCGATCAATCCGGCGGAACGTTTTTCGGACAATCGAACCGTTTCAATCGAACTGTCGCGGGGCCGCGGAACTTTCGGCTGGTTCGAAGTTGAAATTGAACTCTTCGCGCCTCTTCCGCGAGGTGTTAGGTGGCCGCGGGGGCGTGAGCGCGCCGATCGAATTAATTCGCGAACGTGTAATCCGTGCAGCTGGCAGCCCCGCATAAAACGTCGATCGTAGATTTGTCGCAGGAGTTCCGAACAGCAATTACGAGGCTAATGGAGCCCCAGCCGGCTTCCGGCACAGTCCATCGGGGTCCTGGCTCTTCGCAACTTCCTTTATCGTTCACGCGCCGACGACTACGTCGACGTCGACAGGGACGAGAACGACGACGACGACGACGACGACGACGACGACGACGCCGTCGGCGACGATCATCACGGTTCGCGAGCTCCCGTCGATCCGCGATCCAACGATTTACCGAGTGCTCCGCGGTGATTTATGACACGGCGACGCCTCGATCGTTTATTACCTCGCGGGATAATGGGCATCGATTAGTCGAAGGAGATCGACGATCGGAAATTTCGACCGGAAACGAGCCTCGAGCGCCGCCTCGTCTGAATTTTCGCCGGAATTTTTGTCCTACGAATCTTGCCGGGACTCGATTTAAAGAAATCCTCGAACTTAGATTAATATAACAATATTATTATATATATGGTTATAATATGGTTATAGTTATAATTATAATATGGT